TAATAATAATAATAATAAACTCAAAATTAGCCGACGGAGTCTAAACGAAAGTTGTAGAGCATAATTTCACCTACGCCTGCATATAAAGAACGTCAAAAACGAAGCTCGTATACGAAAGTTATGGATTTTTGAAGTTCAGGGCACAAAATTCGAGAAAATCCCAAAATCCAAGGAATTTCGTATGGTCAGATTTCGGCCACGTCACCCTCGCTCGCAGCATGCCGCGTGTCCGAATTGATGAGTCATACGATGCCAGTTGTCGACCCGTGTCGCACCCTCCTCGCACCGAAGGCTCGGCCAACCAGAATCCGACGCGTGCCTTCCACCTGTCTCGCCCTTCGCATGCTCGCCACCTGCCTCCCTCGCATGCAAGCCACGTGCTCCTTCCTTCTCTCCTCGGTCCGAAGCCTCCCCTATATAAAGGGAGGTGCGAGATCTCCCGGTTTTGGTTGGAACTTCTCACATTTTTCACTCCTAAACCCTCTTTTAAGCTACTTAGCATCCCCCGAAGCCCCGAGATCATACCCAACACCCGAAACACGTTCCGAAGTGCCCGAAGAGCCCGATAAATTTATCTTTTCGGTTTGAAGCTCAACCCTCGCAAGGCTCGATTTTCAAGAAAGCTCCCAGTTTTCATCGAAGAAAGCTAATTATAGTAACGAAGTGCTGCCCAAATTACTATTTTAACCTCCAGTTAATTCACGGTGAGTTCAATATATAGGAACAATGGTATGTTATGTGTTATATGTGCTATGTGCTTTTCCGTGCTATTATCTCGTGTTATTATTTCATGGTATTATGGTAGCAAAAGCTGTACCTTTGACCATGTGATCAGTGAAAGGACTTAGATTCACGATGATATTGGTATGTAGCCTCTGGCCGTGTAGAGCATGCCTCGTAAGAGAATGACTTCTACCCCTATGGCATTGGCAGAAGGTTAGATAGGGCTGAAAGCCCGAAATCTACCAAAATGTTTAATCATAAAGTGTATGTCTTCTGTGCCATTTGGGCTGAAGCTTTATTGATGTATATAAAGTATCGAAATTGTTATGTCTCATTGATTGTATATCTTTGAATCAAATCATTGATTGATATGGAAAGCTTGTCACATGATCCATATATACATTTGTTGTTCCTTGTTCCTCTTTGCTTCTGCTATATTGAAGTATATATATGACATACCGTTATATTGTATCTATTATTGAACTCACTAAGCGTCACCACTTACCCCTCTCAGTGTTTAATAATTGCAGGTGATAAGCATACAATATAGTCATATACTGTTAGAAGATTTTGAATAGTTAAAAACTATTACTTTTGTATTTAGTACTCATGTATGTATAAAACTTTAATATCCTGGATAGTTATGTAATATATAACATTTTGTAATAATCGGTTTAGTTTACTTAAATATTTCATGATATCAAATAAAAAACAAAATTGAGTGGAAAAACACTATAATTTTTTTAAGATATCTGGATGAAAGAAAATTAAACTTTAATTATTATTTAATAACATTATACAGATTATATTAAATAAAATCTTTTATAGTATTCTACCGATCTTTATATTTGTTTTGTTTCTTTATATTAGTTGACGAAGTTACCATTAAAGAAAGGTAAATGACAAAGCTAGCATTTTTTTAGAAAAGACAAAATTGCAAAAATGGTCTGTGAAATTTTGTAAGTTTGGTCCAAAAAAGTTTGATGATGTACTAGTGATCCAATTTTGGATATGTTCTGTAGTTTTGGTCCATATAGTTGTCATTTTTGTATGATTTTGGTCCACACCCAACATGAAATGACCAATATACCCTTAAATAATTCCTTTTAATTTATTTGATTAAATTTCCTATTATTTTATTTAAAAGAAAAAGAACAATAAATTATCACCTACTATACCCCACCCCTCTCTCTCTCTCTCCCTCTCTCTCTCTCTCAACAACACCAAAATCAGTAATTGGTCTACCTTCTCCCTCTATTCTACCGATGCTCTAAAACCACCACCTACACCACCATTGCCGCCCCTTACTTGTGTAACACTGCCCACCTAGCAAACTTCGGTGACAATGGCTTGCGACCCAGATGCAAATTCCAACGATGTGACCCATCTACCACTGCCCCTTCGTCTTCTCCGGTAGCTCCAAATGTTTGTTTCCAAATCTGCAAACGAGACCGACATACCCGATCTTTTCTTTAAACATATTCATCTGCAGATTCAAACCCGAGGAAGAAGATAGAGGTGATAAAACCCTTCAAATCGAAGTCATCTTTTTAAACCATCGATTTTCTTTTGTTTCAGGTCTTCTGGGATGGAGAGACATTTGGAAAAAATCAATGAAGGGTGGTTTGGTGGTCAGTGGTAAAGGGTCATCTGGTTAAGGAAAAAGAGGTGAGGGTGGGGGGGGGGGGAATGAAGGTGGTTGGCGGCGAGTAGTGGTTGAGAATGACGATGGCGTCATCTTCTATGACGCTGGTGGTGGCGGCTGAAAACCCTAATCACTGAAAGATGGAGGTAGTGGTATTTGGGTAGGGAAAACACCAATTAGAAGGGTGGTGCTGGTGGGGAAATTTCATCGAGGTCTGAGGAAAGAAAGATGGGTGAGGGTGGGATTAGATGTTTGTAGTGGACGGTGGTGGCAGCCGTTGGTGATGGTGGCATCCATTAGGGGTGATACGTTTCTTGAGTATGTGTGTTTCTTTTGTTGAGAGAGAAAAGACAAATGAAATATAAATGAAAAATATAAATTAAATTAATTTATGTATTTAAGCAATTAAAGAAAATGAAAAATATATATTATAAGGGCATAAATGTCTTTTTAAGTGTGTAGGGACAAAAAAACAATAAAAAGATCCAATGTTGCACCCAAAATCACATGATTTTGTCAACCACAATGACCATTTTTGCAATTTTGTCTTTCAAAAAACATTTCCCATAAATTAATCAAAAATTAAGAAAATTTCAATTTTAATCGGCGAAAGAGCATACAAGTAGCAATAATGTTTAATCTCAGTTAATGGACTGTGGAATCGTAGCCCGTCTCCTCATTAGCCTAATAAATTTAAATCCGATAAAAAAATCAATATCGATTTCAAATTTAAGTCTTAAAAAATTTCTCTGGTGACAAACAACGAATTTCCTATTAACTATGTTGTACTTATTGTTTGTATTTTAAAATATCAGATGAATTCTAGCAGTAGTTTGTAGTTATTTTCTCTGAATTATGAAAAAAAAAATACCAAATCATAGATAACATGACCATATGCAATTGTACAACCCTTTAATGCATAAATAACGCATTGACGATTTGTACAATCATATATATCAATCTAGAAAAAAAAAGAATAAAATAGTAGATTGATAGAAAGGAAAATGAATATTTCTATATGTCATCTGTGATTTTGTATCCAGAGTGACTTACGTCCTGTTCTCGAGTTTTTTTAGGAAGGAAAATGATGGAAAAGAAAAAAAGGAGAATGAGTAAACTTTGTTTTCTTCTCTTACTTTCCCTCTCAATCATATCCCAAAAATAAGAGGAAAGAAATCTAAGAAACTAACTCAATCCCTTTGTTTCCTTGTATTTCTCTTTCTTGAATGAAACTTGATAACACTTCTCTTTTCCTTTCCTTCCCTTTTTCTCTTTAAAAAAACTCAAGAATGCACATTTCCTTTTATTTTCTTCCTTTCCTCCCATTTCATTCTTTAAAAAAACTCGAGAAAATGGTATTATTTTTTATGCAAAATGTAAAACCACATGTGACTTAATAAAACCGCAAACATAAATACATATTTGATTTATTGGTGATTTCAGTGGTTAAAAACGAAAAGTTCTTAATTTTTGGCTAATTTACAGAAAATATTAAAAAAATGATTAGATTTCTTATTTAAAAAAAATCATCTTATCTTAGAAACTAATATGACCTAAAATTAGTTATTATCTTTGCATTTTATAACCTTCGAGTATCAAAAAGTATTTTACTCCGAAAAGGAAAAACCCTCCAATTGAAGGAGTCGATTTCACATGAAAGAAACCACGTCTCTCAGTCCACTCCCAATCCTACACTTCGCCCATAATCATCATCATTAATTTGCATATCTTTAATCACCAACAGATTTCGTATTGTTTCTTTCATGGCGAATGAAATTGGCGGAGGAGGAGAAGATGAAGCGAAAGAAATCGCTGCTCAGCTAAGCAAAACCCTAAAAGAAGGAGAAAGAATTCTTGCCCCGACCCGAAGACCCGACGGAACCTTACGCAAACCCATTCGCATTAGAGCTGGTTACGTTCCTCAAGATGAAGTCGCCATTTACAAATCTAAAGGCGCCCTGGTATGTTTACAACATTCGCATAGTTTTTCTCGATTTATTTGCGTTATTCGAAATGATTTGAGTCAATTTGATGGATTTGTCGATTTTTGAAGAGAATTAGTGTTTGCGTATGATTTATGATGACGATGATGATGATCATGGACAGTTGAAGAAGGAGATGGAGTCGCTGGAAACTGTGCCACCTGGTTATGATCCTGAATTGGATGCCATTAGTAAACCTAAGAGCAAATCCGCTAAGAGGAATGAAAGGAAGAAGGAGAAGCGTTTGCAGGTTTATCATTTAGCTCATACATATCAGCATTATTTTGCTTTATGTTATAGTAAATGTAGAGTTTTATGGCATTATGTACTTCACAATGTCTATTCAAAGCCTAATATATGAACAATTTATGCATTTGGAGAGATGAAATTAGCTCCCAGTGAACAATAAGGTCATAGCATCCTCATTTCTGCAACCTCCATACTTCTCCATAACCTGAATTGGATGCATGCTCTTGATGATTGTTTAATCCATTTGGGCCAATAAAGCTTCACCTTAATAAGTCCTAACTTTTTACACATGCTTAAAACTTAGACTAACTATATTACTAGTTGGAATTAATTTCATGCAAATGAACATATCTTGATTTTTCTTATTTATTTACTTTTCCTTTTTATTGCATGAAGCAGGCATCTGTTGAGAAAGGAAAAAGTGAAGCTTCATCTACTGATGGTGTAGATCAAGCATTGGAACCTCTTGACTCCATTGTATCCCAGATAAATGATATCACTATTTCCGTTGCTACCCCTCCCTTAAATTCAACAGATCATGTTCCTGATATCGATAAAAAAATCCGTGCCCTAAAAAAGAAGGTAATTTTTCTAAACTTGCTTCAAAAAAATATGCACTTATAACTTTGTTTTTATTTTGTTCTGTTAACTTGTTCTTGAATCCACTAAACTCTTTTGAGTTTCATTCAATCTAAAATGAGAAGGGTAAACTGGTAAGTTTTAAATGGTTCATTCAGTCTAAAAATAAGAAGAGGGTAACATGGTCATTTACTCATCTTGTTCATTAAAATGGCATTTACTCATATATTCTAAAACGAGAAGGGTAAAATGGTCATTTACTCGTGTTCAGACGGTCCGTTAGGTCTAAAAAAGAACTAGTCTTTGCTTATATAACAGCTACTTCTCAGAGACATGATTTATCCATATACATACATGGAAAGTGTGTAAGAAGGGTAAAATGGTCATTTGCTTGTGAAATTTTGTTGCAGATTCGGCTGACAGAGGGTCAACAGCAAAAAACAGGGAATGATTTGAAACCAGAACAACAGGAAAAAGTTGCAAAATTAGAGGATTGGCGAAAAGAGTTGAAACTTTTGGAAGACAAAAAGGCCTCCTTGGAAGCCTTATAAAATCAGTAGGCTTTTTTTCATGTTTTTCTTTAGGATTAAAAAACCTCTAGTTTTTAATTTGTGATTTACTTTCTTAAGATGTTATTAGGTTTTTATTAATCTGTCCAGATTTTGAGGCTGAAATTTGCCATTATTCAAAACAAAATCTGGGAACTCTGTGGTCATGACTCATGAATCGTTAACAAATTGAACAAATTATTTTTAGTTTCTTTTGGCTCTTTTTGGCTTCAACACAAAGAGGCTTAATTGTTACTATTACAATCTTCATATATTATCTAGGCAAGAAATAGAAACGTGTTTGTGTTTTTATTAGTTTGTTTATTATAGCATCCTATTTTGAAAATCTACCAAATTATAGCAATGTCATTTATGTAGAAAGCCATTTTCACTGCTATAATTGGGTAGTATCTTTATAATGCAATGTCTTAATAAGGAAAAAAATGTATGTGCAATGATATAATTTGGTTTAATGCATAATTAGGAAGAAAGAGCTGAAACTATGATCCTGTAATAGAAAGAAATGAAATTAGTATTATAAATTATAAACTTATAATACACAAATAAGTCAAAGTACATTGCATTGAATCCGAACAAAAAAACTCTACTAATCCCAAGATGTTTAAAGTTGACAATATCTTGAGGTTTTTAGTTATTGTAAGAGGAAATAGAGCAAACTAGAGTTCTATCCTCCAATTATTGACAACTTTTAAAAGCTTTTAATATAATTAACTAGATTACTCGTATCTATGTGACATATTTTATAAAGTCATTTATCTAATTTTTTGATTTTAAGCATATATAATATATTATAAAATAAATATGTAATATTTCTAAAATTAAAAGGCACTTGTACCAAAAGTTGCTCCATGACTTCATCGAATAGAAAAAAAAAAAAAAAAAAAAATTTATGAGATAGTACAAGGAGATATTAGTTTTTTTTGCATATAGTAACACTAATAATGCCACAAAACAAACCAAACTGAAAAAATAAGACTTTTTTAAATAAAAAAATAAAATTATTACGTTCATAGTATAAATGTAAAAAAAAAAAAAATGATAAAAATATGATAGATCGTTAAGAATTTTCAACCAATATGATGCGACAAGCATATTAAATGTAAAACTAAATAATTGTCTACGCGACCCCCAAAAAACAAGCATAACAAAATAAAATAGAATCGCATTATACTTGTTGTACGTTTTACACAAAATCCATTACACATTTTTTCTGAATCATACAAAACTGAATTGCACCTTTTTCATGCAAAATCTCACATAAAACACAAAACCATATGCAATAATGGATTTTATGAAGATTCAATATCTGAACCTTGCAAACCTTCTTGATAAACTTCATAATCCTCAGGGCTCCATCTGCATATCAAACTTAGTTTAAAGGTTGCCATCTTTATCCCCATTAAACGCTGCATTCACATAAGAAAAAAAAAAGATCAGGGTCATGATGAAAACAGAAATCCCACAAATGACGAAAATGCCCCTGAGCAAACCAAAACACTTGATACTAACTAGTATGCGAGATGACTCGGGTGATATTGGTTTCCCCTCTTCACAAACAACAAAATCTCCAACAAGCTCCACCACTCCTATATTCCATCATCAAAATAAGCAAATTTATAATTTCACATAGTAATGTGTGTGTGTGTGAGAGAGAGAGAGAATGCAAACCTTTGTTTAACCTTACTGGCATCCCTTGCTTCCGCAAAAAGGGTTCCATTTCATGTGTAAACTGGTCTAGAGGACCTTCCTTAAGTTCAACCTGAAGGGCAAAATGGTCATTTTTTAATTAGCCAAGCAAAAAAATAGAAAATGCAATTTTCATGAGTGGAGAAAGTGGTCATGTTTTTAATATCGAAGGGCGTTTTAGGTATATATTTCATAACAAGATCTCAAGGGTAAAAATGTAATTTTTCATGTAGACTAGTTGAAGATCGAACTAACCGTTTCTGAAGCAATACTTCCAGTCCTCGCAAAATCATGATCTTCATATTCACCAAATATTCTGCCAAATATCGAAAAACAACAATAAATTAAAATATATATAAAAAAAAAGAAATTAATAGATCATATTTAGTTCATATTGGTGAAAAAGATAGTTATAATTATAACCTGTGGGCCTCTTCTATGGGCATATTGGTCAAACAAAGCCCACAATCACCTCGAAGAAGCTGTATTCAAACAATAAGTAATAAATAAATACATTACTAAACTTAGCATACAAGCTAAGATATGTTTCTTTCATTGATTTGTTTATAAAATCATTTCTTCATATTACAGCATTGTACTTTGAAATACAATTTTGTAATAAATATAAATGAAATTATGTTTGCTAATTCTTGCATTTAACCCAATTAAAACTATAAAAAAATAAAAAAAAATAAAAACAATTTTTTTCATGGATGGAAGAAATTAAAGTGTTTTACTTACCTTAGAAACTTTGTGAAGCCCTGGTCTTATCTCATCAGAATCTGCGCGACCTATTGCAACCTGCATGACTTTATTTGACCCAAGAAAAAATCTGAAACATAAAAACATAACATTGTCATTGTGATGAGATTCTATCATAAACCCTTGAGAAAACATGTTGATATGAATATAAGTAGTTTAATTGTGTCTAGATAAAAGTTGATTGATTCGGAATACGAAGAAACCTGCTGGAAGATTTGAGCTGTTCTCTGAACTGCTTGAATTTGAGGTTCCTCATGTTTTCGAAGCTGAAAACATATATGGAGTTGTACTCTTCAACTGCATCCCTTATTGACTGGACTATTGTCTCTTTGTGTTCTCTTCCTTTCTTCTTTGTCTTTGACAAAGTCACTATATACAACACAAGTAGATGTTGTTAAGCAAGATTTGAAATAGATGAGATGCGATTCTAATTCCCAATATTCGAGTATATCGCAAGCTTAGATTAACCTAACTGAATCAACAAAGACATCCTTTTCCTTTGTAGAATCAAAATCAAATCTAGAATCTCAACATAAAGAAGCATTTACCTGTTCTATCTCTCTTGGATTTCGGCATCTTAGTAGAATCCTTTCAAATTGCAGGTATCGCTGCCTTCTTCCGTCGGTCTGTTAAACAAGACAGAAGTAAACCCTCTCTAGTGTTTGCTGCTAGGGTTTAAAGGGCATGACTTCTTGTTCTTCTTTTGGGCCGGGTCATACTTGAGTTGGGTTTAGCCCATACAGTTATACAAATATACCTATTTACCAATTACCATTGACATGTACATATTTACATAAATCACCCTTTTTAATAGAAATATTATAAAACTATGTGTGTATGTTTATACAAATAGTCCTTGTTTAACATAAGTATTATTTTAGGTGTTTGATAAAATTATATAAATGTTTTCTTTCTTATAGCAAATTGACTAAGTATTTGATAAAGTGATATAAATTATCTCTAGTTAACATCAAATTAATTAAATAGTTTATATTTGTTATAAAGTTTAAAAAAAAGTCTTTGTCTAATAGTAAATTTATACTAATTATCCCTTTGCTTTATAAAAGTCGATAAATAATCCCTACATTATAGAAAATTGACAAAATTGCAAAAATGGGCCTTGTGTTCATCGTAACGGTTTCATTTTTAGTCGACTGAATAACCTCTTTTATTTTTTAATTATTAAAATAAATAAATAAGTATTAATTTTTTTTAAAAAAAGGGGGATATATTTTTTCATGTGCAAAAATGGTCCCTTAAAAGTGAAAAGACAAATATACCCTCATGTGGGAGGCACATGAGGGGGTTAACAACAACAACTTAACGGAAGTTAAGTTGGAGGACCAATTCTACGTACAAACTAGGCCAAAAGGACCATGAATCCAAAAAAGTCGAGGTTTGGAATGAAACCCCAAAAAAATACATACCACAGAGACCATTAAAATAATAAATAAATAAACAATAAGTTAGAATGACATGAGTTATAAAAGTAAATCATGATTATGAAAAAGGTCAAAAGTTGAAGTTGTAAACTCTTGGAAGTTAAGGACTAAAAATGTGAAAATAATAAAAGTATGTTTTACCATAGAGTTGACTCAATTAATTTATCCATGGACCATTATATTATATTCACTAGGTTAAAACTCGTGTACTACACGGGTGATAAGTTAAAATAACATATACTAACAAAAACATAGTCATTATCATGAATTTGCAAACACTCTTGTTTACACATTTCAATGCAAAAACTTCTTTGTTCTAAGATTCCTAAATTTGTACTTCTTTGTTCCAAGATTCCTATATGTGCAATGTTTTTTTACTAAATATTTTTCAACTATAGAATTCATATCTACTCCTTTCATGTTCGAAATCTTAAAAAAATAAAATAAAAAGACAATTTTTATGAAGTAGACTGTTGTAAGTGACAATTTTTAAAAAATAAAATGATATGGATGATTTTAACACGAAAGTAAAATGCTATTATTCATATTAAATTAAAAATGCTATAATTAACATACAAATACTATAATTATCATTGAGATGAAATTAAATGTTAT